GCTGCATCCACACCAGCGGAGCCGAAATCAGAAGAGCCCAAACCAGCGGAGTCGAGGCCAGAAGAGCCCGAACCAGCGGAGTCGGAATCAGAAGAGCCCAAACCAGCGGAGCCCAATGCCGCGACATCCTCAGCAAGGGAGGGAACTGCAGACCAGCCGGCATCTGCCACATCTTCCGATGGACATGAAGCCGTGACATCTGTTACATCTTCAAGCGCCGCCATTACTGATGTCGGTGCTTCCTCATCTGATGATGCACAAACGGTGGGGACGGAAGGTGGAGATATGATGCAGGCAGATCAACCAACCCAATTCTCTGTGGGCACCCCCGACGCAGCAAATGCAGCAACACATAACGCTGAAGGCAAGGGACAAGAAGGGCTCCATCCACAGGTTAAGGAAGCAGAGGCGGCGACACTCAGCAGCAGCCTTTTAAATTCGTCGCAGTGGGATAACAGCGTTGCTGGCACTATGCGTGAGAGCGGACTGCTGCCGCTGCTGCTTCTGCTGGGGCTGTGGGGGTTTGCGGCTGCGTGAGGAGTGTGCGGCTGCCGTGTGGAGCACTTGCGCCCTTCCCTGCACCGACACACACACCGCTAGGAATAAAATTTTACTACACAGTGAATAATTTGTTTTTGTTTTATTTTGATGTTCTAAATTTTTCCCTTGCTGCCCTAAGGCAACCACCATGGGCGTTTTTTTTTTTTCGGCCTTTAATTTTTTTTCTTTTCCGTTTGGAGTATAATTTCTTATGTTTTTTTATGTTTGTTTTTAATTATTTTTGTTTGCTTTAAAAAAAACATTTATTTCTGTTTTTTTCTTTTTTGCTCCACTCTTCCCTTCTCTTTTTGCTTTTGGGGGCAATCACTATGGACGTTTTTTCTTTTCTACTTTTCCCTCTTTTAATTATTTATTGCTGCGCTCTTCCTGTGAGGGGTGCCGTGTGTTTCCCGCCCAACTGCTCCACTCGCACACCCACCGACACGCTCATGACGACGGCCCTGTGCGCCTCGCCTGCTGCACGCATGAGGAGGGGCCGCGACGAACGGCGCGCTGAGGGAGCCGTGACGTGTGGGCGTGCGACGAGGGCCTGTGAGGCGGAGCACACATTTCTTTCCCTCTTGTTTTGTTTTTTAGCGGCCAGGGCGGGCAGACACCCGCAGCGCCACACACACACAGCCACACCCTGCCGCTTTAAAAAAAGTAATTTTACTTGCTCTCTTTGACTTTTTTTTCTTGTTTTGCGTGTTTTTTTTTTTTTTTTTGCGTCGGCGCGCCCTTCGGGGTCGGCCTCGTGAGTATTTCTACCCCTCTCTGATTATTTTTCTTTTTTTTTGCTGCGCTCACTCCCCCGATGGAGAGAAGCAACTGCCGTCATGTCTGCGTGCTTCTCTCAGTCCCCACACACACACGAGTGACTGTGCTCTGCGGGCCGCACTCACGCGCCGATGAGAGGGCTGAGGGGAGCAGCAACACGCAGATGACCCCATGAAATATAAACGATGTGCGGACACATGGAGGTCAGACGGTTGAAAGACAGAAATTATTTAATTTTTAATTTGTGGGCAAAATATACAAACAGTTTGGTGGGCCACACGGTAACCAGTGAAATCTTTTTTTTGTGTGGCTTTTCATTTTCTTTTTTTCTTTTATATTATTTGTGTGTAGCCGTAGTAGAGGACGACTTTTTTCATTTTTTTTTTTTTTTTTTTTCTTTTCAAAGTGTGAGGGGTGGAAGGGTGAAGATGAATTTTTTAAAATTTTAATTTTTTTTTATGAATTGCCGCTGCTTTGTCTGCAGTGCAATGTCATGAGCTTGAGCAGTCTTTTTCTCTTTATTTCTGCCATGCACTTCTGCTGTACATTTTTGTTTGTGCGTCCCTTCACATGCTCCGCTCCTGTTTTTACTTCTTTGCCTCGTGTGTCTGCAGGCACACACAACCACATGCACACAAAAAATGCACATTGCAGTGGATTTGGATGCTTATTTTGTAGCGTGTGCTGGCGGTTGCGGGTGGCTGCTGCTTCCTCCGTGGGCATGAAGGGAAGGAGGAGAGAGGGAGCGCGCACCGCGAGTCACTTTTGCTGTTGGCGTGCTGCACCGCCTGTGACTTCTTTGAGTTGGGCACCGAATCCCATTGTGGGTGTGATGGCTGGAAATTTTGTCGCCACGTCATGGCTGGGTGAGGATCCGCTTCCGCGTGTGGCTCTTTGGGTGATTGCTAGGTCCGTGTGCGCTGTGTGTTGGCAGCGGGCTGTGGCCGTATGCCTTTGGCTGTGGGATTGAACTGGAGGCGGTGGCGGTGTGTCTCTTCTCGTCCATGTTGGGTGACTGTTGGCGGTGTGCGTTTGTTGTGTGGAGGGCCGAATCTTTTCTCCCGCGGACTGACGGCACTGCGATGGTGTCTGTGTGTGTGTGTGTGTGTGAGGGCTGGTGTGGGCGATGGTCCTCCGTGCTGCCCATTCCGGATTGTCTCGTGCCCCGCTTTCTGCGTGGGTGCTCTGCTCTGCTCCCCAGTGACGTGTCTGATGTGCTGCCGCTGTTGTTTTCTTCACCACTTCTTGAACACATACACACGCTAGGAAAGAAGGAAAACAAGCGCGAATCGCCACTGTGAAATTCGAAGACACTGAAAGGACCAACAACAGCAGCACACATTACCCACACACACATATTTGTATGCTCTCACGTGTTGCTGCTGTGAAGGCACCCCGCACACACAACCGTCGCCGCGTGACCGGATCCAGCGGAAGGAGGAGGGAAGGAAGAGAGAGTGAGCCGCAGAGGCCAAACATGTCGCGGCCTGTGTTTGCTTCCGCGGTGCTGCTTCTCCTTTTCGTGTTGATGTGCGCCGCCGCGGAGCCTTTGCGGACCCAAAACTATGGAACGAGAGTGGACGATTCCTATGGAAGACACAGTTTGGAGCAGTTGCCAAGGGAGTATCCAGTCGCAAACACAGCGGCCGCTGGCCACATTTTCCGCAATCCTCATCTTGTGAATGTGGACGGGATGCTCCTGGCCATTGTTGGAGCTCAGTTCAATGGATCTGTGGGGAGCGGGAGTGCGTCCATGCAGTTGATGGCACGGATCAGCGTTGATGGTGGGAGGACGTGGCGGCCGTACGCGGGGCCAGAAGATCTTGACTTTTTTGCTGCACGCCTTCACCAGATGTTGTTTACCACGCCTTACAGACTCTTCGGACCGCTTTTTGCTTTTGTGGAGGGCTACGACTTACGGACTGGGGCCAGAATTCGGTTTACCGATGAGTGGGGAGGAAGTGGTGTGGAGTCTGTTATTCATTTTCTGGAGACGGGGCCTAGACGAAGCGGAGGTTTTTCGATGAATTCCGTCTCTATGAGCATTCGCCTTCCTTATCCCTATCAACCCGGTGACATGATTGGCTTCCTCAACGATGCCAGTACTCCCATCACGAAAATGACGGATGGCACGCTCGTGTTTCCCGTGCAGTTTCTGACAATGGGAGGGAACACTGCGTCCACAATCATGTACTTGAATTCTGTTCAACAGCGCTGGACCTTTGCGAAAAGCGCGACACATGCGGGCTGCACCAACCCCAGTATCCTTGAATGGGAGGATGGGAAAATCATCATGATCACCTCATGTGAGTACGGTCGCCGAAGGGTGTACGAGTCGACTGACAAGGGGAACACGTGGACGGAGGCTCTGGGGACGCTCTCGCGTGTGTGGAGCAACTCATTGGCAGGTCTTGGGCTCCACATTCAGGGTGGATTCATCACCGCAACTATTGGCGGAAAGAAGGTGATCCTCCTCACCCAGCTGGAATATTCCGGGGACAAAGAAAGGAGCGAGATTCACCTGTGGCTAACGGACACGAACCGCATTTACCAGGTTGGCCTGTTACCCACTGGGAATAGCGCAACCTCCAGCTCTCTGTTGTACGCGAATGATAAGCTGTATTGTTTGTACGAGGCCGGTGTTGGAAGCAACTCTGAAGCCTTCTTCCTGGATCTGACGTCCGAGCTGCAGAAGATATGGCATGCGCTGGATACTTGGGCCGTGAAAGACAATGCCTTGAGACGATGCAGCACAGGCGCTGCGGACGCCGCGCTGTCAAGAGGGAACTGTTCTGTTCCTATCCCCACGGCTGGGCTTGTGGGCCATTTGGCCGATACGCTCCGTGGGGACAAGTGGGAGGACGAGTACCTTGGGGTGAATGCCGTTGTGAGGGGTGCGACGAAAAAGGTTCCCAGTGGGTGGACGTTCGAAGGGCGTAGCGCGGGGGCCGAGTGGCCTGTGTGCAAGCAGTGGCCGAAAATGCCGTTTCACTTTGCAAACTATGGGTTTACTCTTGCGGCAACGGTGTCGATTCACGAGGTGCCGAAGGGCATCACTCCCCTGATGGGCCTGAAGAAAATGGGGAAGACAACACTCCTGGGACTTTCGTACGATAATAATATGGAGTGGAGCGTGGAGCATGAGTTGTTCCCGAAGCATTTTACCGCATGGGAGCTGGACAAGACGTATCACGTGGTGCTCAAAATGCATGACGGTGTGGGCTCCGTGTACGTTGACGGGACTCCCCTTTGGAATATGAGTCTGAGAAATTCGTTCAATGAAGGGCTGGACGCGGTCTCACACTTTTACTTTGGCGCGTACGATGAGCAGTTGAGCAGCGGAAAAATCCATGCGACGGTGGCGAACGTCTTTCTGTACAACCGTCCGTTGAATGAAACTGAGATTGGCGCCCTCAACGCGAATAAAGTCACCATTCCACCTCCGGAAAGGAAGTCGGCGAAAGCGGCGGCAGCTACTTCCCCGTCCGTTGAATCTGCCAACGATAGGGTGAACACAAATACACAGCCAACTGTGCCACCGCCTGCTACTGCCGGACCACAGCAGACGGACCAAACAACTTTGAACACGAGCAGTGTTCCGAGTGGTGGCGCTCCACCCACGCCAGCGGAGCCGAAATCAGAAGAGCCCAAACCAGCGGAGTCGAGGCCAGAAGAGCCCAAACCAGCGGAGTCGGAATCAGAAGAGCCCAAACCAGCGGAGCCCAATGCCGCGACATCCTCAGCAAGGGAGGGAACTGCAGACCAGCCGGCATCTGCCACATCTTCCGATGGACATGAAGCCGTGACATCTGTTACATCTTCAAGTGCCGCCATTACTGATGTCGGTGCTTCCTCATCTGATGATGCACAAACGGTGGGGACGGAAGGTGGAGATATGATGCAGGCAGATCAACCAACCCAATTCTCTGTGGGCACCCCCGACGCAGCAAATGCAGCAACACATAACGCTGAAGGCAAGGGACAAGAAGGGCTCCATCCACAGGTTAAGGAAGCAGAGGCGGCGACACTCAGCAGCAGCCTTTTAAATTCGTCGCAGTGGGATAACAGCGTTGCTGGCACTATGCGTGAGAGCGGACTGCTGCCGCTGCTGCTTCTGCTGGGGCTGTGGGGGTTTGCGGCTGCGTGAGGAGTGTGCGGCCTCAGTGTGGAACACTTGCGCTCTCCTCTGCAGCGACACACACACACCGCTAGGGACAAAT